TTTATTCATATTTGTTTTTAACACACTATAGGCGGGCCCCGTAAAATTACTCTTCAGATTAAACTGATATGTGTAGCGGGCAAATCGCGAGTAACACGAGTACGCTCTGCGTCGCCTCGCATGATCACAACCATTTTTTTATAACTCAATTTAAAAAAAAAACACATGGTTGTTTTGAAGCATAATAAATTTATTTAAATAATGTATAATTAAACATAAAACTAATAAAAACAATTAACAAAAGTAGATATATAAACTAAACAGTTTTACTTACATTAGTACTTATTACATGTGTGAAATTTATGGAAACATTCACCCTTATGAAGAGGTACGTTACATAACTGGCACATAAAACACGTTAAACTCTTTTTTTTATGAGTAGCACAAACATGACATTGTCTTTGGGGATGTATTTTCTTGCCACCCGTTATTTTTACAATGTTATGTTTACTGGCATCCAGTAACCTCTTTGGGAATATATTTCTTCTATAAGATGTACTTGGTCCGGGATCATCAATGTTATCTTTAACATTTTCATTTATCCATACTTTGGCCACATCGTGCAGAAAAGTTTTGTATTTTATTTTTGAATTTGCATTCAGAGTTTGAAAAACTCTAAAGGCATTAAAAAGAGCTCCATTAATTAAAAACATCACTGTCCTTTTTGTCCATTTTTTTGTGCGTCGTATAATAGAATAATATGATAGGTACTGATCAGCTCGATCAACACCTTTCATAAATTTATTATACTCTACAACGCATGTTGGCTTCCAAATATTTTGTTTCGTATTCCAATCTACATTTCTGCTTTGTATCACACTGGCTGAATGAATTGTTGATATCATTCGAACCAGTCTTTTTGATTGCCAACATTGTACAAGAATATCTCCTCGGCGACGAAACACAGATTCATCTCTTCTCAGGGTTATATCTTGTAAATATGGAGGAAGTCCTCTATTTTTGCGTATAGTACCACAACTTCGAATTCCATGTTGTAAAAGGACTTGACAGGTATCGACACTATTGTAATAGTTGTCCATATAGACATGATGCCACAAGTTTTTATAGGGCTGTAGAAGGCCATGAATTCTACCGCAGATACGTCTTTCCATTTCAAAGATTTTGCACTGTCTTTAAAACGATCAATATTTTGTGAATGATAACGATTACTTTCTTCGGCCATATAGTCAAACAAATCATTACCCAAAAATAGCTGAACCACTTCACTTACACTTTGTGGATTATTTGGTTTCAAAACCACGCCACTTTGACCTAAAAATGGTTCAATATTCGGAGGATTGTCAAATTCTGACCACTCCACTTCTTCACTGTCACTACCTTCAGAATCACTAGACATAATCGGTAAAACTCTACGTCTTCTAGGATTAAAAAAATCTTCATCACTCTCACATTCACTATCAAAATCAGGGATATCCAAATCACTTCCAATTTGTGACAAATTATCGGCGTAAACCTCACTATCGCTATCCGATGCCATTATTTTATTATTGCAAATAATAATTTAAAAAAAGAGATGTTGAACCGTATAAATCTTACTAATAAATGAAGTATTTTATAAAATATATATTGAACACCCTTTTGTTGTAAATTCTGCATATTTATCTTCAAAATAAATTGAACATAAAAAGAAACTTGAAGATAAAACATATTGTTTCTTATCCTTATCCTAATTCTAAAAGTCTTACAATACCAAATATCAATTGAATCTCGAAAAAAGTACCAGCTATTCTTTCAATATCATATGCAAACGATCCGATAAAAGTATTTTCACCCGCTTTCAATGTTAGTTTATTCAAAGCGTAATAATACCATGCCCGCTGATAAGCAACAATCCTCGCAGAACGTAATTTTACGGGGCCCGCTTATAGTGTTAATAGTTATAGTTAAAGAAAAATTAAAAGAGTTGATTATAATTAGTAAAATGAAAAGTGATAAATAGTTTTGCAATAATAACATCTAACAAAATAAATTAACAACATTCAGAAACCTTTTGCGTGTAGAGACCGATGCTATCAAATACCTAATTCAGGCAAATCTTACATGTTGCAAAACTGAACTCCTATTTCTGTCAAAAAAAAAAAATCAAATCAGATCTTAGAATGACCAAATTTGTTGAAATAAAAGACCAAATGACAATACTACAACGTCATCGAGTTAGAATCTTAAATATCATAAAAATAATACTATTCCATAAGATTAATATGCATACCTATTTCTATAATAATACTATTCCATAAGATTAATAAGTATACCTATTTCTTCAGTCAATACTATTAAAGAAGTGAATGGTTTTAAATAACCCAAACAATTAATTTAACATTTACATATAATGTAGTTCACGGATATACTTGAGTCATTACATGTTAATACCAATTCGAAATTACAGAAGCGGAAATCGGACTTTTAACAATACGTAAGCAAAAATTCTAATTTGACGGCATTTTAATCAATATTTATTTGCATAATTGTAACATATAAAGTCTATTTATATAATTAGATTAACTAATTACAAACGTCTGTGGAACTGTTTATTACGAGAGCCAATTAGCACTTTATGTATATTCTCAATTTTGTTAAATTCATAGGTTCTACAGCAATTTTACTCTAAACCTTAAGTAATAAACAATTTGTATACTATTAGTTTACTTCCCTTCTTTTATTTGATGCATTTGCAGAAAATGATTAGAAATAGGACATAAAATGCAATCTTATGCAAGACTGAAATATTGACAGCTTGCAGGATAATAAAAATAGGAAATAAGAATCTTTAGAGCAAACATGAGTCTGTACATATTTATAAATTATACGCATCAAAGAATGAATTTTCCGTTGTTATTGCAATATTGTTTTTACATCGACTTGAATTTTTTCCACATGATGCGAAATAATAACAAATACTAATTCAATTAACTATAGATAGATATCTATCATCCATGTACTAGATATAACTACTTTTTTAACTTCAAGCAAAATAACAAATAAAATTTGAATTGACTATAAAAAGATATATGCCTAAACACTCATAAATAATTATATTTATTATTATATGAGTGTAAAGTAAAAAATTAAATGTAATAATATTAACCTTTCAACGGGAAATAGAGAAATAATTTCATTTAAATTATACTTTGCAATATGGGAAATATTGCATAGCTATTAATAAATTTTAGCAACAAATAATATTTCATATTTTTGAAACATGTTGACTTTTTTTTCTGTAATCGTGAATAACATTTCTAGAAACACAGTCAAAAATAATGACATAATTGTTCAAAGTTTTCAAGAATTTAGGCTTTTTGTTGGATTATGAATTTAATTTTTATTAAATTGGCCGACTTTGAGAGGTCCTCCATTAAACACTAGCAATAATCATGTTTTTAGGTTTTTATTTTTTTAAAACTATTAAGTATTTTACCTTACTGCAACAACTTTTGTTAAAACTTGCCAACGGCAACTTTTGTTAAAACTTGCCAACGGCAACTTTTGCTAAAACTTGCCAACACACTTCAGTGCATTTTTTATAAAGGATGCGGCTCAAAGACGACGAATTTTGAAAACTTTAAATTCATAATTCAATAAAAAGACTTAATTCATAAAAATTTTGGGAAATCGTATCATTATTTTAGACTATAGTTTACTGTAGTTATTAAAATGTTATTCACAATTGCGGATCCAAAGTTTAAAAATAAACTAAATTATTAAAAATTAACCACAATAACTAAAAAATTGTCACATTATCATTAAAGCTCTAAGTTGCACTCAAAAACTCAATTTTCAAACTGTGTGAGTAAATTCTTCTTAACTTCCCGTAGGGTAAGTTATTGTAATGCACCAAAAATCGAAATTGAAAATTTTTACATTTCTCGACGTTTTGAAGGTTTCTGAACATTTTGGCATACCTCAGAAAAAATGGATGTGTGTGTGTGTGTATGTATGTATGGATACAAATTTTCAGTCACGTTTTCGGGCGCACGGATCAACCGATTTGAATGGTTCAAAAAACATTCGATTCCTATTGATAGGGACAAGAACTGATTAGTTTTTGGCAAAGGCAGGTCTAGCCGTTTCGGAGATACGGAGCAAAAAGTGCAGAAAATAAAAATCGAGTTTTTGAGAGAACGGAGTATCCGAATGATCTAAAAAACATTCAATTAGTAATGATTGGAAGAAGTGTTTGTTAGTTTTTGGCAAAGGCAGGCCCAGCCTTTTCGAAGATACGGAGCTAAATATTTAAGAAATAGCAGTTTTTGAGAGAACGTCCGATTCAAATGATTCAAAGAACTTTCTGCTTGTCTTAACAAAATAATTGATTTTGGAAAAAAAAATTTTTGTTTCAACTTTTTTTTTTTCAAAAAAAAAAAAATTTTTGTATATCGAAAATAATTCAGATTTTATTTTTTATTCTGACTGTAGTTCTAATATACTTTAAACAAATAATTTCAACTTTGCAATTTTTATAAATATTAGACAATGTTACAATATTTATAATAATCTATTTGATAACATTCAGTATTCCTCGAACATTTCGTTACTATACGGGAAGTTCCAGCAATTTGCTTTAAGGCACGATGCCATACACCCCACTAGTTATATTTTATTTGCAACAAAGAAATTTAAAATGTATAAAACCATTTATTAGAACTTTCGTGATTCAGGTTGAAATTTAACACATTATCAGCTCACAGATCTTTCATCAATATTATTAAAAATATAGTAAAATTTTGTAGCAATTGAAAGCAAAATTAATTTTTCATAAATGAAAACAATCATGTAATTACTAATATTTGCATTAATAGGTTTGCAATAATAATATTGTCGGTTTTTTCAAGCATTTGATGGTGTATGTGTGTTTCTACACAAAATCGACTAAAATTATCTATAAAATTCTATAACTTGTAAAAAAATATTTTTGAATAACAGAATCGATTTCATCTAATCATTATATGAACATTCCATCTATCTTTCTTCAATCTTTTCAGTAACGGAAATCCAATGCACCTTCTCAACAAACAACGCACCGATAAGTTCTGCGCTAGCATCATCAGTTTCGAGGGACTCCATCGTGGCTCGCCTACGCAAACCGGAAGGCTTCCGAGGGAACCCGCTGTTCGCGGACGATCGAGCCGTAGACCCTGAAACCGATCCGACGTGTCAGATCAGGCCGGATCTGACGGATCCGACAGGTCTCGGATACTATCTGCGCATCACGGATTTCGGCCGCTGCGGCGTTTTGAAAAGGAATGTAAGTGTCACTTATAATAAGAGTTAATAGGCATGCAAAGAATGATGTGATTTAAGGAATGCAATGACAACACAAGTTGTGCACATGGTATCGTGCCTTAAGGCAAATTGCTGGAATTTCCCTTACCGTAATTAAAAAATCTTGGTATGGAACCCAAAAAAATTTACACAAAATTTGTACACATTATGAAAATCTCTATAAAATATTTGATAATTTGATGTACATATGTCCAATAAACATTTTTGACCGCCAAATGACATTTTTAACTTATTTTCATTGTGAGTCCATAACCGCTAGTCATGCCTCCCCAAAAACTTTGATCAGTTGTTCATCTTGTCAATGCAAGTAAAATGTTTTTTGAATGATTAAAGTCGAAAGCTCCGTTTTCTTAACAACTGAGTTGCCGTTTTTGGCACGTTTTGCCCCGTAACTTTGAAACAACAAAACCTGCCTTCGCTAAAAACTAATCAGCATGAATTCGTCTTCTTATCAATACAAATCGAATGTTTTCTGAATTATTCAAATCGGTTGATCGGTGTTCCCGAAATCGTCGACGAAAATTTGTATCCGCACACACACATACATCCATTTTTCTAAGATATGCCATAATATACAGAAACCTTTGAAACGTAAAGATATATAAAAAATTTCATTTTCGATTATTTTGCGACTACTATAACCTACGGGAAGTTAACTAGTGATGTATGGCCTCAAGAAAAATTTCTGAGACTTTCAGAGACCTCATGGAAAATTTCTGAGGCCATAAAATTTTTAAAACTAACAAGATGGAGTTTAACTCAGCTCACAGATCTTTCATCCATGTTATTAAATATATATTTATTTATTTATATTTATATTATAAAGTTTATAAGAATTGCTAGCAAATTTAATTTTTCATAATTAAAAGAATAAAATTATATATAGAAAATTTCCAATATTTTCATTAATAAATTTGCAAAAGTATTGCCGGTGTTTTAAAGTATTCGATGGTGTGTTTCTACAATCGATCGCTTGGCCATATTTCCAAACGATTGCTGCCTGATCAAATATCGACTAAAATTATCAAAGGTATTTTATAACTTTTTTGAAAATTTTGAAGAAAATCAATTTCTTTGAAAACTTTGAATTTTTTTAGAAGAAATGAGCTTTTTGAAAGTTCTGAAATATCTTGAAAATGTTGAAACCTATTCAAGCCTGTTGAAAATGTTAATAACAATCCATACTGTCGAAAATGTCGAGGCATTTGTTTGAATTATATGAACTTGAAACAAACATTATAAATCTTAGTATGGAACCTAAAAAATAAAACAAAATTTGTACTCTATAAAATACAATACATTTACATTATATTTGTAATCTGTATAAAGTACACAAATATATGATAATTCGATTTGCGTAAGTATAATGATCATTTTTGAACGCCAAATGGCATTTTTGTAAAAAACAATCTGGATCTGCTAAAGCGCTGAATCACTTTTGCCAAAAAATTACAAATTCTTTATTCCGTCAATACAAGTAAAATATTTTTGAATTATTCTAATAGTATGCTTCGTTCTCTCAAATACTGTATTATAGATTTTTGCACTTTTTGCCTTGTATCTTCTAAATCCTGCCAAACACTGACTGAATCATTGAAATCGGTTGCTCTGTGCTATTGAAATTGTGGACAAAAATGTTTGTCCAAACATACATACATACTACACACTCACACAGAAATCCATTTTTTCTAAGTTATGCCAAAATGTTAAGAAACCTTTAACAGTTAAATATATACAAACTTTTATTTTCGATTTTTTTGCAATTACTATTACTTACCCTACGGGAAGTAAAAGTAACTTGCCTTATAAAAATTTATTTCTACTCATACCTTGCACATTTATATTTTAGCTTTTATTCACATTTAGTAAAGTTATTTTGCTCATAATTTATTTTTATCTGTTTATCTGCTAGTCGATGACAATGTCGTTTTTCATTTTCTAAGTTCTGTGAACTTACTTTCAATCTCTAACTACATATGTGCTTCATGCATGAACCAATATTATGACTTATGTAGAATTTATGGTTGATAAGTAAACTATTTTCAAAACTGTTTTATATAAAGAAATTTTGATATTTTTCCCTAATAATTGTAAATAACAATTTACAATTTAATAAATATTTCTCTTAATAATTAAATTTATTTTTTGCAGCCCTCAACAAATCGTTTTTTTTTTAATATGCAATTTTCCTAAATTGGAAAGCTTCGTTTTGTAAAGTACTTATAAATTAGAAAACTATTATAAAGCAGTATTAAGAAAATGGAAAAAATGCAATAAATTTTTTAAATATTACGATGGAAAACTTAATTTTTGAAAGAATGTACAAACTGGGGACAATATTATGGATATGACTACTGTAAGTGGAATAGCGATAGTGTGGTCTTTGACGATAACCTGTTCTAATTATTGAAAATTAAATGCAATAGCGAGGGAAGTTAATATTAAGTGAAAAACGACTTTGCCCTTAGAAGATAGAAAAAAATCATGTAAAAATTATATTATAATTAGTTATCCACTTATTATTAACCAAAGTGTTACATAAAGAGATGTTTATTTATTATTACCTTGTAATATGTTAATGTTTCTAATAATTACATATTAGTTGCTTTAATTTAATCAAGTTTAAAAAACAAATGATTACAAAACAAATTCTACATTGTATTATCTGATCTCTTTATATCTATTAAATTTATCATAACCCGATCTTTTAGCAAAGTTAACGGATCGCTAAGTTATTGCTCTGGTTAAGAACCGCTCAAGATACGAGCATTCGATACTTTCGATCCAGTTAGATTTTAATATTAAAATTGGCCATGCAACCTTCTGATAATAATAAATATGCTATATATAAATATATGCAGACCGAATATGTGCGGTTCGGCAGAATGTAATATGTTGTGAATAAACTCGTTTCAGCAAATAATAAAAGAACAGTAAGAGAGCATATAACTGTATGGCACGCCACGGCTGCTTGAAGACTGAAACAAGCCAAAGATATGTTTGGCTTGTGATCATAATGAGCATAATAAATTATTAATAAAATGTGAAGAACGATGCAAATTATACAGTGCACTGTCATTATGCCAAGCAGAGATGTACTTTTCGACCAAAATTAAGACAAAACATTAATATTCCACCTACTCTCGACAGACAAATTTCGGAAAGAAAATATGGAATGCAGTGCGTTACTTCAAAAAATCCTTGACCAGCAATTTTTGATCTCATATAAAATATTTACTAATAATAAATATAAAAGTAAACAAGAGAAAATCTGACCAAAAATCGAAATTGAAATTTTTTACATTTCTTCATGTTTTGAAGGTTTCTGAGCATTTTGGCATACCTCAGAAAAATGAATGTATGTGTATATGTGTGTGTATATGTACGTGTGGATACAATTTTTGTCCACGTTTTCTGCGCACGGATCAACCGATTTGAATGGTATAAAAGCATTCGATTCCTATTGATAGGGAGATGTGCTAATCGGTTTTTGGCAAAGACAGGTCTAGCCATTCTGGAGATACGGAGCAAATAGTGCAGAAAATAGAAATCGAGTTTTTAAAAGAGCAGAGCATTCGATTTGAATGATCCAAAAAATATTCAATTCGTATTGATGGGGAGAAGTGATTATTAGTTTGGCAAAAGCAGGTCCAGACGTTTTGGAGATACCTAGCTAAATGTGCAAAGAAGGGCAGTTTTTGAGAGGACTAAGCATGCGATTCAAAAAACTTCCTGCTTGAGTTGACAAAATCATTGCATTTGGATTTTTTTTTTAATTTTAAAAATATTTTTTTTTTGAATATCGAAAATAATTCGAATTTTAATTTTAACTTCAAATAATTAATTTTAACTTTGCTATTCAATTTATATAATTCTTTTAAATATTAGACAATGACCTTAATTTTTTTAAATTCGATTGATTAAATTTTGTTTCTTTTCTATAAAGATATATAAGTAATAGTATGTATAATAATCTATTTAAAAACATTTAATATTCCTCGAATATTTCATTACAGTACGGGAAGTTCTAGCAATTTTCCTTAAAGCACGATGCCATACACAATTAGTTTCCCTATATCCTGAATCTGAATATTAGTAATCAAAATCGTTATTACCCTCAGAAAATAGGATTTCTCTGACAAATACTTAATAAATATTTTTTATATTTTTAAGATTTTTATCTACTTCCTGTAAATGGTCATATGCAAACCATCGCTCACTATCTACAAACATAGCCGAATTATCCTAAATACCTGGAATCATTAAAAATATATACTGTTATGAGGCATTTCAGGTATGGCTTCATTAGTAGATACCAGAAAGTGCAAAAACAAAAATCGCCATCAAACGCCGGAAATAAATTTTCTATAAAAATTTTTGATAACATGAATCACCAAATTGTTTCATTAAAATTTTAGTTTTATAAATTGAAAATAGATTCAATTTTATTTAATTTTCCATTTTTGCCTTTGATTTATTTGATTGATAGTTGATAAACCGTCTATAATTTCATTTCCATTTCTCAAGATATATTCTTATGATTTATTTATATTCTTATGATTTACTTTTCACTCAGGGCTTTGTCCATGTTCGGGTCTGGTTTCCACAATTTCCTGGTGTGGTGATGCAATCTGATCAGGAGCTGATCATCATGTGTAAGCCTCCGGAACCGACGGTAATAGAAAATAAAGCTGCCGGATTTGCTGGCAGTTTGTGAGTATGAAACATTATTTTGGAAAAGTATTGATTGAATTTAATAGGATAGCAATTAAATTAAAGGAAAATAAGATATAGCTGTATTTAAATCTTCAGAGAATATATTTTAGTTTGTAATAAATATTTTCGCAAATCAGTTTGCATAGTTATTAACATGATTTGGAATTTTCAATATTTTAATACTAATCACAATTTAGAGTTAATTGAATAATAAACGTATTGTTGAAGCTATGAGGGTCTATACAACTTTCAAGACAATTACCAATGCTGACATTAATTGCAACAAAATTAAAAATAAAATATATTTTTAAAACTCAGAATTGGTATTTAAAATAATATTTTGAAGCTAGTATAAAAACTTGATTTTAATGTGGCAAGGTCTAATACATTCAAAACTATTTCATTTGATTTTAAATATTATTTGTTTTTTATAATATGGATTTTATAATTACGGCACCCAGTAGTAAAGAATTTCGAAACATTCTATCCATTTGCCTTGTAATTTAAATAACAGTAACGTGGACAAAAGCTCATCATTTGACAAGACAACGGTCCGTAATTCATTAGGGATCTTGTTACATGTTTTAATTACGACCATGAATAAGTTTCTCAATAAAATGAGAAACATGCAAAAGTTTACAGAGTTGAAAAACAATTTGGGAAAAAGTCAAAACTTCAATAATATACGCATTGACGAATATTAAATATATATATATATATATATATATATATATATATATATATATATATATATATATATATTTAATTTTATTTTATTTTCAATAGCAATCAGAATGCATGACAATTCTATGAGCTATTTCAAATTTCAAAAAAATAGCCTATTTGCCTTATGTCATTCACTCGCACACATACACACACCTTCAAACACACATATAAATTTATTGGATAAATATTATGTTGTTAGAGAATCACTTCAATAAGTGATTATACTATTATGTTCATATAAGGCTGTTGTAGTTCTAAGGTTCCTCCAAATTATCTTTGGGCAACTTCCTCTTCAGTCTTCTTGAAGTTGGTGTCTCAAGCAGCTGAGTGACCATATAATTTGTATGATGTTCTAGTTTTTGAAAATGTTTGATACTGTTGATTTGTATAATTATTTTTATAAATTCAATATGAAGATCGTCGGGTAAGGTTTTATTGCTAACAAACTATGGAGCATCAGTAATCTGCCTCAATATTTTCGATTGGGCACGTTGCATTAGAACTATGTTAGATTTGCTTGCATAGCCCCACAATTCTATGCCATAGGTCCATATTGGTTTTATTACTACCTTGTAAATTAGAAGCTTATTGTCAATAGATAGAATTGACTTGCGTCCCAGTAGCTTTAAATGTAAATGGTGGTATAAAGGTTAAGGACGTGGTTTAGCACAAACTAGTCCCAGGTTCGACACCAAACTCAGTCAGATCGATATCAAGCAGTATGATAAAAATTTCTCTTGAGGTTATAGATCTCAAATATAATCAATTAAAAATTACCTTTCTGTTGATGTATATGTGGGCTTTGTTGAAACACATATACACGAACACTATTTGATAAGCATGCTTGACTGTTTACTAAATATACCTATCTATCAAGATTTTCAATGATACATTTATATGTATCTATCAAGATTTTCAATGATACCTTTAACAGCAAGTAAACTTTTTTTTCGTCATGTCAAAACTAGTCGCCTTTATTACAATTTATGTCTCTGGTATGTTATGTTAGTCAAAAAGTCCAGTATCAATAGAATTCTCATAAGTCGCTGATCAGTTTCCTCCTGATCTTTCTCATGTAGAATTTGTCTTAAATTATGATTCATATACTCAAGCAAGTGAATTGCATCCTGGTTCCTGATTTTGTACAAAATTCAAAGTATTAAAAATATATTACAAATATATTGTAACTAATTTTTGTTTAAGTTTTATAGTTGCTTTTAATAACCAAATAGTAGACGAAGAAATGATGCAAAATCTATCGAACTCATTGTCAATAACAAATTTTAACTTGCTGGTGTAATATTTTTTTTTAATGTGTCAAACTTCGACATTGCGCATATGAATTATAACAACGAAGTTATTTACCTTGGCGTTATAATAAGATCAGGTTTCACACTTGTCCTTATATGGAATGATATAAATTTTTATATGTTAGTAGCATGAAACGCTATAAAATATCAGACTTTATTTCAATCACTAAAATGTTGTCAGCCCATGGTAATACAACGGTAAGTATGTGCTAGGTGCATTACCCAAGTGGGCAGCACAACACATGGTCGCAGCAAAAGTCAAAATAGCATTCTATTCGGTACGAAAACGAAAGTCAGCGGTTGCGGCTGCGGTCGCGGTAATGATCTTCACCTTGACCATTAACACTTTTGTCCGTGGTGCTTCGTTAACCGTTACAAACATTACGGTTGCATTTATATACAACTAAATGCGGATTTCATCGCAACGGACTGAAATAATAGTTAAGAAAGAGAGCTTAGTGATGAAAAAAATGTATAGGTATTTTTGCAACTTTATAGGATAATTATAGAGATAACAAGGTTTTAAGAGTGCTCAGGTGCTGTCTGAAAAATTCATAAATTTTGCTTGCAGTTTCATTTCAGTTTTTTTAAAGATTATTTTAATAAATAAATTTTTGAGGCTAGATGTTTATTGATCTAAAAATAAAATAAAATGTTGACTAATATCAATCCGTGCGATCATATATTAGGTTGTCAAATATCTCCCTTCCGCCTTTTTGTATGTAACCAAGAGTAAAAAAGCGGAAGGGAGATATTTGACAACCTAATAATAATGTACACAATTGCTGCTTGAATGTAAACAGTAATTGTAGGTTATTGATTATAGTGATTGCAGTTGTATCAAAATTTCCTTTCAATTTGATTCAAGATTTTCAGTTCATTTGATTCAGATTTCAACAAAAGTGCTACAATATAATTTATTACGTATGCTATAAGTAAAAATGAAAAGAATTAGTTTTTTCCAAAAACTGAGTAGGGTAGAGCATGGAAGAAAGGTCCAATTTGACTTTGAGCAATAATATTGTAAAAATTGATTAAACCAGTTAAATCACAATAAATACCACATATCAAACAAACAACTATCGAACTATGTTCAGTAAAATTTCCAATTAATTACAAATTATAGAAATATGTTTTTTCACTATAGGCAAAGTAAAAATGGGCAGATAGAGGGCAAACTGATATAAGTTTTATTTTGAATTTTAAAAGCATTTCGCGGAAGCTTTATTATTTATAAGACCATTTTTTTCAAAGCTCACGATGATGTATTTACCTCAATTTCGTATTTTGTCACAAATATGCAGCAGAGTTGGAATAATTGTTAACATAATTTAACTCTTTTAAAATTGCTTTTTTTTTTACCTTACTTAACATTTTTACTTACAATATTTTATTGTGTACACCTTTGCGAGGTTTAGTTACCCCACCACACAAAAAAAAGTTTAAATCTACAATAAATTTAAATAAACAATTAAATAATGTATACCTAAAAATTACATTCGGGTACCGTAAACTAAACAACAGTGATCAAAACCAAAAAAACTGTCAACAAAGAACTATCAACATTTTGTATGAATATTCATACATTTCCGTTTTATCTCTTGATAGTCACCTCGTAAGAATTAAGGTGATAGCTGGTTTTGTATCATTTGCCTTCTACTTTAAAATAGTATCGGTCAAAAATTCTATTCTGTACTTGTTTTTGAGATAATTGTGGTGGATCTTTTTACCCGCGGACCTTTAAGCCCCCTTTAATGAGACGCACAAATAAAATATTTGATTATACAATATTTATGATAAATTTTAATTTAGTCAATAAATAAGCCTTTTAATTCTCGCTTTTGTAAGTTACATTTTTTAATTTATAATAATTAACATAATTATAACAACGAGTAATTTTACGTTTTTTTGTATTTACCAAAAAACAACATACATATACATAGTGCATATTGTATAAAGTTATTAGGCAAGAACCCCGGATTGGGTATAGACCTCCTCCAAAAGAAAAAAAAAATTTCATTTATTTCATATAAACTAAGAATTTATTTGAGAATATCACAGCCAAATCTTTTTAGACATTAATAATGTTTTAAAATCAGACAGACACATCTAAGTTGCTCTTGCTCAATATGCAGACAAAATTGAATGATAAAATCAAAAGCATTTCCAAAAATGTTGACATATTTGCCTTATCTTTATTGACATCTTGGACTATTATTATCTCCGACTTAGAAATTGATAATTACAAACATTTCCTGTGGTATGATGAGTGTTGCCCTTCGTAGAGCCTTGAGGAAGACGCATTACCGTGACAATAAGCCACCAATGCTATTATGCCATTTGGGCGAAATAGTTGTTCATACCTATAATACTAAACTTTATGTTGGTGAAGAATTATTCATTATTAATTTTCAGAAAGTGGCGAGCATAGGTCATTTGGTAGCGTGTTCGACTCACTCGACAGAGATCTTTAGATCGAATCCTGTCATTGACTTAGTATATAGGAAAATATATATGGTTAATTTAAAATTGAATTTGAAATTAAATAGAATTGGATTTTTTGAATTGAATCTGAATAAAAATTAGGAGCAAGAATAGAAATTACAGAATTTGAATATCTGAATTGTGATAGGACTAAGAAAAAACTGGCTAAGATTAAAAGAAGAAGAAGAGTTAAAATTGAAGGAAGATAGAAGTTAAATCGAATTAGAAATTAGAAATGAAAGATCAAGAATTGAAGAGAGGGAAAGACAAAGTCAAAATTGAAGAAAATAATTGAAAGAAATTGAAGAAGAAAATAAAAATTAAGAATAAAAATATAGAATAAGATATATAAGTTTGACTATGATATAAAAAATAGTATAGAAAGTAAATAAATAGAATGTTGTAGGTGGCTAAACGCTCAAGGTAAGCGAGGCCAAATAAAATTAAAAAAAAAAATAAAAAAAAAATGTTTTGCCT